GCCGCCGCCGGCCCCGGCTGCCGTGCAGCCTGCGCGCGATCTGCACCATGCGGCCGAGCTGCACGTTGCTGCGGTAGTAGCAGTCCTCGCACTCGAAGCGGCACACGGGGCAGGGGAAGCGCTCCGTCAGGTCGGCCCAGCTCTGCCGGATGCAGGCGCGGCAGAAGTTGTGTCCGCACTCGATGGTGACCGGGTCGCTCAGGGGGTCCAGGCACACGGAGCACTTGGTCTCGGCCTGCAGCCGCGCCAGCGCCGCCGCCAGGGACGCCATCGGGGCGGTTCGCGGGCCAGCCGGCTGGGCTGCCTGCGCCTCGCTCCCCCCGGGGGTGGCGGCCGGGTCCCGGAGGCTTCAGAGGCCGGGTCCTGCAGCGGGCGACAGCACCTTCCCGCGGGCAGCGAAGGGCTGTGGGCGAGACGTGGGGGCCCTGCTTACGCCAGGGGCCACGCACTGCGCCCGGAGCCCTGAGGCCGAGGTGCGCAGTGCTTCACCCCCGGCTCGCGCAGCAGCAGGGCCAGGACAGTAACGCACCCTAAGCCTGCCTTCTGCAAACCTCCCTGACGCCGCTTTGCACGCGGCGGGTTCACTCTACGGCCCTTTCTGTGGCCCTGGGAAGCCAGCCTCGGGGTGCTGCGAGCCAGGCTCGATGCCCAGTACCGGAGCTGAACCTGGGCAGTCACAGAGCCGCCCTCCGTCCTTTCCACTGAGACACCAGCTCGCTAAGGTGCTCAGGCTGCCCCGCACCTCCCACCTCCTGCCTCTGCCTCCTCAAAGGTAGGTATTTGGGCTGGGCCTGTAGCTCAGTGGCATAAGCTTGCCCAGAATGTGCAAAGCTCTGGTTCCCAAGCCCACCCAGCCCCGCAATCAACACACAAATGAACACAATAGCCTATTTGTATCTGTTTGTGGCCCGGGGAATAGAATCAGGACCTCATACGTGCTGCACGCAGTCTACCACTGAGGCCTGACTTCATTCCCAGTAAAGTTTTTCTGGTGGCGCAAAATTCACATCTAGCTGGGTGTCTGGCACAAGCCTATAATCCCAGCACCCACCCTGGGAGGCTGAGGCAGAGGGATCACAAGCTCTATCCAGCCTGGGCAACTTAGCAAGGCCCTGTGGCCAATCTAAAAAGGGGGAGGACTGGGGCTATAGCACAGTAGTAAGCACCCCTGGGCTCAACTCT